ATTTTCTCGCCTTTGGGTCGAGCTTAGTTCGATTGCTTTTGGGGATATGGACATAGCATATGGACCCGAACACTATGAAATAATTTACATTTAGCTTTTCACCATATATAACTTCAAAGGGGGATTTTTGTGTACCTGGCCAGGCTGGTAGCCTGTTTGTTACGTGGCATGCACACTGAACTGCCTCTGCCCATAACTCTCTTGGAAGATTCTTGTCGTGTAACCATGACAGACAAACTGATGTGAGATAGGCCAGCTTTCTTTCTGTGACCCCGTTTTACTGAGGGGTATCTGGGCATGTCATTTATCGACTAATGCCATTACCATCACAGTATTTAAAGAAATCATCAGATATATATTCTCCACCATTGTCACTTCTAAGGCACTTTATTTTCTTTCCAAATTCCTTCTCTACTGCTTCCTTGAATTCTACAAATTTGGATAGTGCCTCACTTTTCTCCTTTAAGAATTTCACCCATGTGAATCTCGAGTGATCATCCACTAGCACCATCACATACTGTTGTCCGCTGCAACTAGGTGCTCTGGTTGGCCCCATTATGTCTGTGTGAACCAGATCAAGCATTTCTGAGCGTCAGTTTGACGATCTTTTGTATGGGAGTCGATGAGACTTAACATACTGACACCCTTGGAAGATCACGTCCTCACGGACATTTTTCAGGTTCAGTATCCTGTCTACCTCTCTCTTTGAGGATAATTGCTGCAACAACTGATATCCTACATGTCCCAGCCGAGCATGCCATATCGCGGTGTTGTCAATCTGACTGGTCTTCTTCACATAGGCCTCTCCTGTTGACGTAACAAACAGAGAACCTTTCTTCTCACAAGAAAATAGAACATCAGCAGATATCTCTTTCAAATTATCAAGTATCTTTACATCTTTTGGTCCAAATAAGACATTTTTTCCAGAATCAGTAATCTGAGGAACTGACACTAAATTTTTAGTCAAACCTGTAACATGATAAACATCATGCAATTTGATGCTCGCATGATCGCTTATTTCGACTGTTACTACTCCTTCTTTCGTTATGGGATGAGTTGAGTTATCGGTAGTAACAATGACTCTGTCTCCATGGTGTTCATGTATCTTAGAGAACAAAGTTTCATTTCCAGTCACGTGATGAGAACACCCTGAATCAACGATCCATTCTTCCTCCTTGTTGGACACATAGTTTGCAAAGCCTTGAGTTGACTTCTGGTCTATCGCTTCAATAGTGAAGCAATGATCCCATTTGAGCTGATCATCTTCTTCATCAGTGCACACATTTGCCTTTGAGATCTTTACTCGACAATACTTCTTTATATGCCCAGTTTGACCACACCTGAAGCATGTGATGGGCTTCTTGATGTAGGCTCTCCATCCTCCTCAGCACTTAAGTCCTCATCTTTATTCTTGCTGCTAGATACGGCTTTTGCTTTCGGCTTACCCTTTGAAAACAAAATAGCATCAGTCTCTGCACTCTTCGCCAATGCTTCTTGGTTTAAGAGCAAATTTTCCAGTTCTTCAACTGAAGGTTGTGTCACCCACCCTTGAATAGAGGTGACAAAGGGCCCATATTCTTTTCTCAAACCTCATACAAGATAGCGACGCAGCCTTGCTTTACTGATTTTTTCATCTGTATTAATCTCTGAAATTTCAGCACACACGCTTTTAACTCGTAGAAAATATTATGAGATTGACATACCTTTCTGGGTTAGCCTAGCCAACTCATTCTCCAGCAACTGCAGTCATGCCATGTTCTTCTTAGTGAACACCCTTTCAAGTGTCTGCCACACTTCTCTTGGAGAAGCAACGTCACGAACATGCTCAATGTATTCTTTGCTGATAGACGTTCTCAAGGCATAAAGGGCCTTCCCACACTTATCTTCCACTTACGCCGTGCCTCAGAATTCTCAAGAACATTAGAAGGGATCGTATCAGCTCTAGCAACCAGCTCCCATAAGTCTTGACCTTGAAGGTATGCTTCCATGTACATTCTCCAGTACTTGTAGTTGGTACCCACTAGCTTCTCCATTCCGGGTTGACCGTTTCCTCCATTAGAGAGTTCCATCGCAGCAGATGAAAAACTTCTACTCACTTATACAGACCAGGCTCTGATGCCATAAAACAAAACGAGAAGGAAAATAAAAGCAAAGCCAACAATGAACTTATCGGGAATGCTCTGCTTTATTTTTATCTGATAACAATCGGAATACAGCGGCGGCCTTTATAACAGTAAGCCATGAACATTATTCCTGTGATCTCTCTATAATCCTAGAGATCTCGCTAGCACTCCCCTATTATTTAAAACAAGATAAATAAGCAAAATAATAGGAAACAGATTTATTTTGACTAAGTAAAAATAAGCGGAATAAACGAAATGAGAAAACAACAATATTCCAGAGATCTTGTATCAGCAACATGTTGGAATGATGGCCATGTGCTTCTCATGTACTGGAAGTTTGTACTAACTTTCAACACTGGTATCAAAAGATTGAACCTAAAACATAAAGTTTGATATAAAAGAAAAGAAATAAAAGAAGAAGCGAAGAGAATACTCGAAAAGAAAAATTGGGAGAGAAAACTTGAAGATGATCATGTGTAGCCCCCAAAGATCAAAATAAGCCCAATATATTATATGAAAATGAAGGGTAGAAGTTGAAGAAGCATGAAGTCGATCCATCTTCTAGTGATTCGTGAGGAAGAGACGTTTAGGGGCTTATTATCTATAAATCAGAATAAGGGAATATATGATATGAAAAGAAAGAAGTTGAAGAACCGTGCAGGAGTCGAACCATTTTTTCTTGATTTTGTGAGAAGAGACGATTCGATCCAATGAAACATTTATGCACGCATGGATGGATGAGCAATACATGGCAAACCAACAGATACCAGCAAACAAGAAAGCATTTGTTGCCTTGTGTCCTCAACAAACATAATTGCCTCCCAATAAATAAAACGCTAACTGTTACATCTTATTTTTAAATATCATTTTATCTCAATTAGAACCATTTAGAATTATTTCTTATAATATTAAGTTGAAAAAATTTCACTTTAAAATTTTATAAATTCGGGTTACTATTCATTGTAACCCTAACAAAAGCCAAACTTTAAAAAATCATAACTAATTCCAAAAAAATCAAAATGAGGTGGTTCCAAGTTCTACTTGAAGTTTTTAATATGATCTTTACAGGAAAAATACTCATTAATATTCAAAACTCACCAATCAATCCTAAAATTCAAGCAAAGTGGTACTATTCATATGGTCATCTTTCAATTATCCAGAATTTATGCCCAACTTTAGAAGGACATAATTTCTTGCACAAAACTCCAAATATCCAGAAATACCACTTGTTTTAAAGTTAAAAATACAATCTATAAGTATGCCAAATTTCAGCCAAATTCTCATCTATTTGCAGAGAATTTCGTATAGTAAACATTTACCTTTAAAAAGTCAACTTTTATCCCCTTTTTTATGCAATTCTTAATTATTCTTTTCTTTTCTTTCCATATGACCATTCCAATCATATAACCCATACTAAAACATGATTTCTTAATGATATAATCATATGCATATCAACTTTGGTAACTAATACATTAATCCAATATAATTCACAATAATCCATAATAATTCATATAAAATTACAAAATATTCACAAAGAAGCATTAAGCTTAATTAACTTCCAAAATAATCTCCTTCCCTTTGTCCTTGCTTGGTCTAACCCCAGTTGGTAAATATTTGAACATAAAGGAATGAGATTTCATAGAAATCTCAGTAGCAATGAATCATAATTATCATGCTAATCATGCTATATAAAAATGTGCTATGTTATCATGAAAATAACATTATCATGCAATATTTCATATGCATATCATTTGCTATGGAAAGAGAGCAATTAATCAAGCCATTATGCCATTCCTCATAATATATTGCCAATGCATATTCAACATAAAAATTCATACATAATCACATAATTTGCTTAATCACATCATGGCAATATAAATCAAATAAAACATACACATTTAAACAAGCAAGAAAGCATTTAAATTATGAGTTTAATGCAACCTCTCACTCAAGCATTCAATTCAGTCTCTTTAAGGATTTTGGATTTGTGCTCCGTTTTGTTTTCTTGCACAATACTTATCAATCCAGATACAGAATTAAAAGATCTGAGCTAATATATAACAGCTATGTGAACCAATCATAGAATAGTCACAACATCTATAGGATATATAGATATAGATTTGTGGGATGTGACTAACAATTAATTGCCAACAACAAAACATAGTCATGAGCCATGTGGACCAATGACAGAATAATTACAACAAACAATTAAAAAAACATGAGCTAATAGTACGTGGACCAATCACATAACAGTGACAACATTTATAGGATATATAGATAGATAGATTTCTAGGTGTTTTATTATTATTTTTTCAAATAATATTATATATGTATAGATATTACTGGCTGTGTACAGACAAATATACCCTCCCTGCGCCCGCCGTGGATCTGATAATCGGAGACGCGCCGCATCTCACGGGTAAAATTGTCAAATCAGTTTCTCGGAACGGCTACTTTTACTGATCGATCTATTACCATTAGCGAATGCCATCCCACTCCCTTTTCAGTAATTTAAAATTTGAAAAATCTCTCTCAAAGTATGGGCCACGTTTTCTGGTCATTTAGAATTAATTAAAAATAAAAATTCCTCAAAAATATGAAATTATTTGTTTCACTAACTTTTATTCTTTTCAAAACCTCGAAGGGCTAAACGGCTCACAGCTGTAAAGCAGAAAGCCAGAAACCGCACCTCAGAGGCATTACCGTCTTTTCATAGGGAGAATATTATCGTCCTAATTTTGAAACAAGGTCCGAAAGAGTCTGACCCCACACCTGCTACAACAGATGAGACTGGTTATGCACACTCACATTAGTAACTTTTCCTTAAAGTTCATGTACTCTCTCATTTGGGTTTCTTTGCTACAAAGTAGCTTACTGGTGCAACTGCAGCCTGGGGAACTTTATCCTTCTCTCTACCTGCATTCTTCTCTCTCTTAGGGTTTCTTCTTCTCTGACTGCAACTCACTTCGTTAGCTCTCATTTTTAAGCTCTCTGCCTTACAGGCAAACGAATTGTCGCTGCATTTTAACTAAAGAATGTAACGCTTTTCTGGGTGCAGATGGTGGAGTCAGGGGCTTAGCTTTCAAGTCATTTTAGTTGGTACCTTTCTGTTTCTCTTTTTTCTAATGCAGCTATATGCTTCTGTATGCTTGATCTTGTAATACTTTTGTTATTCTGTGTGATTTGGGCTTTTGGGGTTGATTATTACTCTTTTTTGTTTTCTACGGTGGGTGGAGCAGGGTGTTGCGGATTCTGGGTGTTTGCTCCAAGTTCGAGAAAATGTCGTCGCGGGCGGGGCCTTCGGAGCAGCCGCCACAGCCTCAGAGGCGGATCATGCGGACCCAAACTGCTGGGAACCTCGGCGAGTCGATATTTGATAGTGAGGTTGTGCCTTCATCTCTTGTAGAAATTGCGCCTATTCTTCGTGTTGCCAATGAAGTTGAAAAGACCCATCCAAGAGTTGCTTATCTCTGTAAGTTCTTTGCACATTGTGCTTTTCTGGTTTATTGTTGGGAACAAGTTGGGCTTCTCTCTATGTTCTCTAGTGGGTAAAGCAGCATACCTTTTTAAAGTCGTGGATTCGGTGCTTACTGGCTCATGGGTTTGATATTTTTGCCCTAATTGGGTATGTTTTTTTTCCCAAGTATGAATGTGAATATTCCTTCATACTCAGGACCTGAATTTCACAAACAGTTATTTGCTATGTAAATCTCTTGCTATTTGTGTGATGACTAAACTGCTACTGCAGGTCGGTTTTATGCGTTTGAGAAAGCTCATAGGTTGGACCCCACATCAAGTGGTCGAGGTGTTCGCCAATTCAAGACTGCTCTTCTTCAGCGTCTTGAAAGAGTGAGGACTTTGTCATGTACTTATTTTTTTCTTGACATTTTATTTCGTTGCTAGTAACTTTCAAAACAGTATATATATATGCGTGCCATTTACTGCTCTAGGTACATATTTTGAAGCGTGGAAATTTTACTGTTAAAAAGAATTTTATCCAGCTCTTGGTAACTACAAATTATTGAAGTGTGACATGTTTCAAACATAGTCTGTAAAGGTAGGTTTGTCTAAGGCCTGCTCTGGGTTCACATTTGATTAACTTAGATTAGCTACTGGAGCATTCATGTTTATGCTCATGACTTGTAAGTTTTTTATTGATATTTTCCCTACCTAGCGTCAGCTGTCACACATTGGAGGAGTCTTAGGGTTCGTGTTCTATGCACTATGGAGTTCTGTAATTTAATTTAAATGTGTAATACCTTAATGGGGTTGGCAGTTAGTTTTGTCCAAACTTTTCTCTCTGTTGAAGAATTGCATGTGAACCTTTTTGCTGTAGTATAAAATGAATTATTTGTCCTTGTGAGATTCTATGGTGTATTTCCATATTAACTTTTTGCAGTTTCGTACAAAGAATATTTGTTCCGCGTAAGACTTGATGTTGATGGTATTAATTTCGTTTTACACTGTTTCATCTTAATTTGTTAAGTGTTGTAATGTTGCCATGGTTTTGTCAGGAAAATGATCCAACATTGAAAGGGAGAGTAAAGAAAAGTGATGCTCGTGAGATGCAGAGTTTTTACCAGCATTACTATAAAAAATATATCCAGGCTTTACAAAATGCTGCTGATAAAGCTGATCGGTAGGCTTTCAGATATTATGCTATGCGATTTGATCATTGTCTATTTCATAACTAGCATTGAGTGTGCTTGCATATATTTAGTGCTCAGCTTACCAAGGCATATCAGACAGCTAATGTTCTGTTTGAAGTTTTAAAGGCTGTCAACATGACGCAATCCATGGAAGTTGATCGTGAGGTTATTTTTTCAAGCTTCTGATAATTTAATTTTCTGTTGATAATCAATTTTATATTCACTCTTCCTGTTATGAGAGAATTTTCTTGTTTAATTTGCTTTATAATGTTAAATATGACTCTAAATAATCTTCTTGCCAATGACATTGCTGTAGATTTTGGAGACTCAAGATAAAGTTGCTGAGAAGACCGAGATCTTAGTTCCTTACAATATTCTTCCTCTCGATCCTGACAGTGCAAATCAGGCAATAATGAGATTTCCTGAGGTACATGTTTTAGTTTTTATGTCTGTTTAGACCCCATGCAGGCTTGCGCATACTTATTAATTAACCATTAACCATTAACTATTAAATTAATAATAATTAATAGTTGACTATTGATAGTGATTATTAAAAATGGATAATTTAAATAATGACTTAATATTTAAGGTAAATATTTTCAATTTATTAATTATGATTTCTTTCTCTTCATAAAAATTGTCCACTTTGAAGTTTTTGGTAATTTTACATAATATTTATCTCTTTAGAATTTCAATGAAGCATTAATTAATTTTTTACTGTTTTACCCTTTATTATACGAGGGGAAGTATTTAAGACAGTATTTAAGACAAGGATAATTTAGTAAAGTACTAGATAATTTATTAAAATACTACATTGAATTTTAATATAATCCTCATTTGGTGTTTGTGAAAGGCCCCCCAAAGGGACAATTTTTATGAATTAGAGGGAGTAATTATTAATTAATAATGTTATTTAATATATTATTTGTTAATTGGTTAATTTACTCCTTACTAATTATTAATGAATGAATAATGAATATACTTGTTGCTCAATATTTTCAGATTCAAGCTGCTGCGTTTGCACTTCGTAACACTAGGGGCCTTCCCTGGCCCAAGGACTACAAGAAAAAGAAGGATGAGGACATTCTGGATTGGCTTGGGGCAATGTTTGGATTTCAGGTAAAATGCACACCAAACTGTCTCCGTTTTGCATGCATTTGAGTCGTGCTGTTGTAGCAGAAAATGAGCTCTTCACTAAAAAGTCTGAACGATGTTGTGTATCACACCATCACGTCCTCTTCTTAATCTATATTTGCAATTCAATGCAGAAACACAATGTTGCAAATCAGAGAGAGCACTTGATCTTGCTACTAGCAAATGTGCACATAAGACAGTTTCCAAAGCCTGATCAACAACCAAAGGTTATTTTTAACATGAATTCTTGATACACTTTGGTCTATGCTTTTCACTTAAATGGGGGTTTTGGGCATTGCATGGATTTTGAGATAAGTTGTACTATACATGGCATATAAAGAGCGCGGCTTCTTATTGAATTTTTCCCCTCTCGTGTGCCCAATAAAACCTTATGTTTCTGGAAAGACATGTTTCAGTACATACTTAGAAGCTACAGCCCGGTAGTTGCTGTTACATGCACTATCATCCATATCCATGATACACAATCATTAAAAAATGATACCAATGTTTCGCTAGAAAGCTGTTTCGTGTGACAGATTATAGGGCATCTAGATCTATTTGTGCTTCAAGGCATCGTGATGCTCTGTCTTCCTCAGTCCAAAATCAAAAGTTGGTAGCTACTTTGAACTTTCCTTTTGGTGGTTAAAGCTTGTCACGAGAGTTCTCTTGCTATTCTTTTTCCCGCTATCAAGGGTCGCCGTCTGCCAATACATGCAATTAGCTGTGGCTTGTGAAGTTTTGAGGAGAGAATTTAATTTAATTGAAACACTTTTGAGATGTTTAATTTGGCTTCATGACTGTGAGATAGGAGCTTATCAGGCGAATTATTACTTTCTTTCATCTGCAAGTGGTTGCCTTCTGGCCTTTTTTACTTTATATATATATTTGGTCATGTAGTTATGCCCCAAGCACATGTTGCTTCTGAACCATTCAGATGGCAATGTTTAATAATCTGGGGATCCTATATTTGATGATGAGTTTGTTTTCCCCATCATTTCTGTAATATTTTATAAATTTGGATGGATTCGATTCTGACTTGTATCATGTTATTTGCTTAGCTGGATGACCGTGCGCTGACAGATGTGATGAAAAAGCTCTTCAAAAACTACAAAAAGTGGTGCAAGTATTTGGGTCGTAAAAGTAGCCTTTGGTAAGGATCTCTGCTCTCTTGCTGCTTAAAGATACTTTAACTGCTGTCTTGCTGATCAGGAGCCTTTTAATTCCATAAGTGTTTAGAAGAGAAGGGGATTTTTGATATTGTTTCCCCTTTTTTATTGTATATTCTAGTCTAAAATGTTAAATCAGTTGATGGGCACTCAAGTTGAGATGACCTTTTAATAGAGTTTTTTTAAATTTGCTGATTGTTTAATAACTCTTTTATGATATTATGCGGTTTTCAAAGAAAGAGCTTCTATTATTCAATTGCACATGAAATACAACTGGTGGCATGTTGCAGGCTACCAACCATACAGCAAGAAGTCCAACAGCGCAAACTGTTGTACATGGGTCTGTATCTTTTGATATGGGGTGAAGCTGCCAACTTACGATTCATGCCAGAATGCCTTTGCTATATCTATCACCATGTATGTTTTCTAAATCAAACTAATATATGATTAAATAATCAACCATAATCTGAGTGCATTTCTGTAGATGCTCCAGTGGTAATGTTAAAATCAATTTTATTATGCTGATTTAAAATTCTATGGCAGATCTGTCATTAGACTAGACTAATTGGGATATGCTTTCCATTCGTGTTTGTGCCTTTTTTGTTTTCTTGACCTTCTAATCATATAAGGAAATAGATTATTTGCTCTTGTTTCATTATCACATTTGCGCGGTCGCTTGTCATCCTTTATCCTCTTGATTTGTTAACTGAATGTTCTTGCTCCCTTAACGTGGATGTTAGTATCTAAAATGCACAACAAACGATGTAGCTTTTGTCTTCAGTTGTATGTAACTTACCGATTCTAATCAAAGTCTTATTTTTGAAATATTCCTCACTTTTTGAGTTACTAAAACCATACTAAAGCCCTTACCTTGCAACTTAATCTTTTAGAATAATTAATGTCATATTCTGGTTGACCGCTGGCCTTGAGTTTTCGGTTTGAAAAATCCTAGCTGATTGTGGAGAAAAAATGAGAAAATTACTTGAAAGATATAAGATGACAAAAAAACTGCAACACTAGTAACTTTAGGAACCAACCTGCTTTCCTTAGAATCTTCTGTCCGCTTATCTTAACCTGAGCTTGTCGTGCTTCCCTGTCTATCAACTCAATTGATTCTTTATTATTATTCAATTTGTCGATCTCTTCTTATTTGGCTGTTTTCTTATACACTCTTCAATACGTAGTCTTTGTGAGTTTTAGTTTATCCTTGATCATTTCTTCTATATCTTGTATCATTTCTATTGTTCTTTTCCCTTTAACCTTTTTTGTTAGTATTTCTTTGGCATTTTCCAATTTAGTACTGAACGATACTATTATGTTTTTTTGGCTTTTGTCCAAAGTGTCACCACTCTAATATTAAATTGATGGAATCTAAAAGAAACGGATTTGAATTCCATGAGTGTTGCAGTTACTTGCAACCCACGCTTGTGCGCCGTGGGATTTTCTCTGATATCTAATTAAATCAATGGACCGTGCATTAGCTGAGTAAATTGGAGAAGAAAAATTAAACCGCATGTGATAATCCCTCTTTTCTTTTAATGATGGAGACTTTGAAATCTATATTTCCTAAAACGACAAACTGTGAGAGAGACAAAAGAGCTGGAATGTTGAAGATGATAGCGAAACTAGATGATCTATCCTCCTAAATGGTGAGGTCTAGTTTAGATGCAGAGAACAACATTGAGAATGAGGGAGGTTCGGCGAGCATGAGATAGGTTTGGCAGTGGAGATTTGGAAGGTGATAACAAGATTGGATCAGAGGGATCCTCATGGCCCCAAAGATCTCTGCAACTCGAACAAGAGGGTTTCTGCAATTGAGTGGTGGATGGAGAGTTTTGGCGAAATCTGATGATACCATAGAGAGAAGTTGAAGGAGATTAAGCTTCATCATAATGTTTCTTGCTCACCATTTCATTCATTCTTTAAATCTAGATCCAGAAGTAACTGATAACATCAATATACTCATGAACTTTCCTAAACAATAAAAAGAGATAGGAATTAACAAGCTAATGCTTTTAGTGAGGTGAAATGTTCAAACAAACAAAAAAGAAAGAATTAAAAAGCAAAATAGAAACATGCATATCCTCTAGCTTTTGAAAGGCTAGTCTCTTTGTTGAAACTTGCCAAATCCATTACTATTTCTCATTGACCCATCACTTCCCTATTTTTCCCCTACCAGTAGCGCTCTAACAAACAACACCCCTCGGGAAAAAAAAATGAGAAAAGGAAAACCAAAAAAACCTCAGAATCCATGTCATGTGGGCGTATTCTTTTTTCTGCATGTCTAGCAAGCACATCATGAATTATTTTTGAGTTTGGAGTCTTTTTCCTGCCCTTCCTTTTTGACTTCAACCTTTTTGCTCTCGGTTCATCAGCTTATAGCAAACTAACTTCCTTTGAGAGAACACTTGGCTTTTCCTTTTTGGCAATACTTCCTTTTTTGTTTCTTCTATTTTATTGAAGGAAAAAAGAACAGGTGTTCTACCTAAGATTTTTCCTTTGCTAATGTTATTTTGGTGATATCGTTTTCAAACGTGTCGTTTTTCTTGTGTGGATTTTCTTTTTTACTCCGTTGTCTCATTTCACGTCATTGAATGGGCATGTGAGTAGCAGGCTTCATTTCTTATTTTGTTATATACTATTGACGTTAGTGATGTGTTGGAATGGTAAAGCTCCAATTCTGAAAGGAAAATATTTGAAGGTGGTTTGTGTTAGCAAAGAATGAGGGAAAATGTTTCCCAACAAACTTCCCTGTCATTTAATGCAAATAAACTCGGTCTTGAGACAAAAATTTTGTTTAATTATTGGCCTTTACATTCTGATTTTTGGCTGTTTGCATTGCAACTTGTAAATTTTATTTTATTTTATTTTTTTTTTAACTCTACGACTTGTTTAAATAAACTTGTTGTGCTATGAGGTGAAATTTGGTCTAATGAGCAACTTTTTGTTTTCTATAATTAGTGATTTGTTGCTAGCCACTCTTCGCACTGCTATATGAAGTTGTTAATGTAGTAATTGCTTACTTATTCCCCTGAGCTTTTGATGTTTGCTTTCATTACTACCTATTTTGTTAATGGGCTCATATGACCCTGTTTAAGATGGGTCTTTTATTTTGGTGCTTCATGTAGATGGCTTTTGAGCTGTATGGCATGCTTGCTGGCAATGTTAGTCCAATGACGGGAGAAAATGTCAAGCCAGCATATGGAGGTGAAGATGAAGCTTTCTTGAAGAAAGTTGTCACTCCTATCTATAATGTGATTGCTGAGGTGGTAGCTGCTGCTTTTTATTACAGTCTTGTTTCTCTTTTTCCTTTTCTACCACGGGAAGAATTAAAGACAGAAAATGAAACTGAAAAGATAATTCTACTAGGGATGTTGAGGCAGGTATCTCACTTCCAACACGATAACCAAGGGTAAATTTCCATTAAGAAATAAGCAAAGCAAGAATCTTACTTTACTAATCTCAATAGTCAACAAAAGGAGAATCTCCAATTCAATCAAATAAATAGGCTGTTTATTTCTGAATCATATCTTAACTTCTCAGATGGCCAGCCTGTTTATAGAGCTGGAATATACTTGAAATAAGCAAATAATCCCTAAGATCATGGCAACTGACTCCCTAAAATTTAGGCCCACTAACTAATGACTTAGAAAAATAACAGACTTAAATATTTAAAATAAAATGCTTCACTCAATTAATAATCCTAACGGACTCCACTTGCTCCTAAACTTGTGCAGCAATTAAACAAACCACTAGAACCACTAAAGTAAATATTAATACGATACAATCACATTAATTAATTCCATTCCACAAATTAACTACGACCTGGTACTCTATCACATGTGATTCAATTTCCCCCTCAATTCTCAGTTTGACAAGCTCACAAAGTTTTCTGTTTCCTTTGGCCAAAAGGAAGCTAAACGAAGCCAAAAAGGGAGGTCAAAGCATTCACAATGGAGGAACTATGATGATTTAAATGAATATTTCTGGTATAATTTGTTCTGATTTTTTATTGCTTTCCCATTTATTGTTAATACTTGTTTAGTGATTAAGTTCAAATAACACTATTGTAGGTCAGTTGATTGTTTCCGGCTGGGATGGCCTATGCGTGCTGATGCTGATTTCTTTTCTCTGCCAGATGAGCCACTTTCTTTTGACAAGTCGAATGTAAGAAGTTGTTAACTTTTCTATCATTCTATTCATGCATAATTGAAAGTTTGCAGCGTATAAATGCTTGCCTTATTCACTTGAATCAGGTTGATACATATAGAGAACAAAGGGATTGACCAAATCTGATCAAATCCTGTCTACATTAATGATAAATGTTAAAAACAGAAAATATATTCGAAATCCCTAAGATCATGCAGATATTAAAATATTATTATCATTGAGATTTGCGGCTGTTAGCTAATGAGACTGGGGTTAGCCGTAATTGGGGTTGTTTAGAGAACGGCCCATTTCCAACTATAATAAGTTACTATTGCTGCATTATGTTGTGTGAATTTAACAGCACGTAATAGATTCATCTTCTTTTAAAAACTCTGGATATAGTTTTTGCCACATGGATATTCTGTGGATATTTACATACATGTGCTTGCTGGCACTATTGTTTTAAGGTGTCAGTCTAGTTTAGCTATAATACTTTTGGAGCGTGATGGGGGTAATGCTTTCTTGTGTGAACAGGGGGAGATGGGCCATTTCTCATATGATGATGTCTACTAATTATTTTGAGTTTTAAAATTTTGGATTGTTGGCTTCCACTTTAGCTCACTTTTGTTGGAGATCATAATAAAATTATTCATGGGTTTTGCTTAGTAGCTTAACATTTTCAGCTAAGTTGGTAGGGTGTGTTCAAGGTTATAGTTAGTTTATTTTTGGATCTTTACTTAATACTGTGAGCTTATGAACCATGATAGAATGAAAGAAAAAGAATGGAAATGGAAGATGGAAGAGAATTATATGATTTTGGAAATTTATCATCTGTCCAAACTGAATTCCTCTTCTTGTTAGATTGCTACACAAGGAGCTAATTAGAACTTTAACTAGTTTACTCTTCAGCTACTAATGGCTAATGCTGGGGCCCTTGACCAAAGGAAAAAAAGGAGACTATGTTGGGGCCTAGGAGAGTGTTAAACTCCAGGAGATCTATTGGGCCTTCCTTATATTTAGGGGTACTTATCACCCATATGCTCCTTTTCTAGTTCAGATTTATCTATTTTGGGACTTGTTCCTAGTCCTAGACCTGCTTGATTCCCAACAGCTAATGCCAACTACTAACTAATACTTGCCTTATGCCTTGTCTTGATGGTTACTCTATTCTACTTTTGCATTTTAGATGGATTCTTTATCTTTTAATTAGTTGTGCTTTGCTGCTTTGCATTCTTCATATTTTTTATCAACAGAAACTCTTCCATTTGTGCTTTTAATTAGTTTATATTGTATCTATATCTTGTTTGCATTTTTCGTGTGGGGGTTTTCCGTATCCTTGATGCTGTCATAACTACTGAATATCATATGGTTATTCAGATTAAAAAGTTTTGCCCTAAATACATAGAGCTCATTCATTGGAGTGTAGTCTATATCATGTAAACGAATGAGGGGCTTATTCTCATATGCCTGTGGTTGAACAGTAAATAATAAAATATGCATGATCTATTGGTGCATGATCAGTCACATGTTTTGTTTCAAGAAAAATTATTGAGCTTATTCGTACAAGAATAGGATGTGAGCTTGATAATGAGATGGAAAATTTTTGGGCTCAATCTTGTGGTCATACAAGTAAAGATGAAGGTTTGTAATGATTATATGCAATGAAAAGTTGGTGTGGCTTTGTAGTTTGTAGAGGGAAAATGGTAGAAGGTAGCTCATCATCTTAAGCTTTATGCAAAAGTGTAGAGGCAGACCAAGAAGGACAACTAAGGAAGTTATTGAATGGGATCTCTTAGTGAATGATATATCTGAAGAGTTAATTGTTGATATTCTAATCACATGGTGTGATAGCCAATCTGACTTGGTAGTTGGCATTGTAGACCCGTGATTGGCAAGAAATTAATGTTTAACATTGTATTTCCAGTTGAAAGAATTTGCCCATCTAAATTTTGTGCTATTCAGCCAAGTCTTTTACTGTTTAATTTAATCTTCCGCTATCTTAAGCCTTGTCATATGTCAATTTTCAGGATAATAAGCCACCTAGCAGGGACAGATGGGTTGGAAAGGTCAATTTTGTTGAGATCAGGTCATTTTGGCATGGTTTCAGAAGCTTTGACAGGATGTGGAGTTTTTTTATTCTATGCTTGCAGGTGGTAGAATTTGTGTTTCGTGCATCTTCATGATGTGGTGTAATCTTTAAATTCTTCATCAAATAAACTCTCCTTTTGAAATAATTGGTTTTTCTTTAGGCTATGATTATTGTTGCTTGGAATGGCAATGGTGATCCAAGTGTAATCTTTGAGGGGGATGTGTTCAAGAAAGTGTTGAGTGTGTTCATAACAGCAGCTATATTAAAGCTTGGGCAAGGTAGGTAACCTTTAATTTTTGCTAGCAAATATATTTCTGAATTAAATAATAGATGCTAGTGAATTTGTCCTTGTGCCTTATTGATGTTTGATGAAGTTCTACTATGCTAGCTTCTTTGACCTCTTTTGTGGGTCATTCGTTTTAGTAATTTTAATTCATGTTTGACTTGCTAAGGAAACGTTCTTTTAAGGTAGATTTGGTGTCTTGGCTTTTTTGACTTAGGGCATGTTTGGTTGGAAACTAAACCATGATTTGAAAAGTGATTTTACAGTATACGAACTATGTGAGAGGAATTTTGTCTCAACTTGTATGAAAGTATTTTTTTTAAGTGCTTTTTGGGTAAACCATACACCTCTTTAATGAAACCATTTTCGAAGTGCCATGGCAATTGGGATATATTTATTTTGTGCTTTTGTTTTATCCTGTGACTTAATTTGTCCGGCTTTCCTTTATCTCTAGTTGTTTACTGTTATGCTTTCTCTTAAATGTTTGTGTTTTAGGCTTCTTATATATGGCGCTAGGCTATTCTCATTTGTAATAATTGATGATTTGAATATTCGGAGTTCTTATCATCTATTTGTCCTTCAATTTTGCCCCCTTTCTCTTGTTATCCCTGTTTCTCCATCTAGAAACTGAAGAATGGTGGATGCATTATGGTTCTTTGGCACCTATTCTTCAAGGACTTGAATTGAAGCCTTTTAGGCAAACCACGTGCATCATCTCCGTGCGACCAAGGCATCAGTTATCTGGTTCCATAATGAGTTAGTAGAGATGCTCAAGTCTTCCACTGCAATAGCCCGCTTTGGGGAGGGTTCTTTTCCTTGTTTGGTAGCCATCACTTAGTCTTAACGTTGGTAACCAATAAGTGCATAAAGGACTGCATTTAGATGAGTCTAATTGAGGAAGGGCCAAGTGAATTCTTGTGTAGTTGATGACTTTGGTTCTCTAGGGGGTGGCAATTGATGGAGATGAAGTTAGTTCGAGATGCTTAGCCCAACATTGTGTAATATGAAGATTCCTTATGAGATGCCTAAACGGATTGTCACTTGCACCTCAATAACTAACTTCTAGGTGAGAGTTCTGCGCCTCACATTGGTGCCTATAAACAGATGAAGTGGGATTGATACTCTTTAATACTCGCTAAAGAGGAAAAAGATGAATGCATGATGGATGAATATTTGGTATATGTTCATAGCAACTCCCTCTCGTATCAATGATGATTGAAATAGACTGAGATGTTCATGAAGATAATTGCGAGCCACTTGGTGGGGCTGGAGGTGTTGAAGTTCTTAATTTGTCTTTAGTTGAGCCAAAATTGTAACAGCTTATAGTAGATGCTGGTAATATGGGTGGCAATGAAGAATGCCTTAGCAAGTGGATGATGATAATTAATCCAAACTGCAGATTGTGTTTATTGTTATGGACATCTTATTTATACATGTATTTTGTTTTATGGTTTATGCTTCAATTTGTTTTATCATAATTTCAGAATAATATTTCTACTAGTACATACTTCCGATTTTCAGGCAGTCTATTTACAATTCCAACCATCATTTCTCCTTATGCACTCAGCTTGTTAGAAATGTTAAAATTGTGCGGCCCCATAATGCTTTCAGGAGAATGTCATCTGCTTAATCATTGGAATTAACTTGGTTAACGTGACCATGTTAGTACATTTTCTATGATACAATGACAATCAATTTCAATATATTTGGTCCTCTGATGAAAGATAGGATTTGAGGTGATGTGGAGAGCAGCTTGGTTGTCACATGTTAATGCCATTTTGCTTAGATCTCCTAATTTGAGTTGTTGGAGTGGCAGTATCTGAAGTGAATAATCAATTCCATGTTAGATGTTGCAATGATGAATGCTTATTCTCCTAGAAGTCGCATTGCCACATGATAAATTAAGTAATGGTTTCATGACCTCATACAACATTACGTGGCAGTCAGTTTAGTTTAAAAACAACGAGGATTTATTTTTATTTTTATTGTTATTTTTGTGTGTTTTTGCTTGAAATAATCATATCTAGAACTCGTGTCTCATTTCTCATGGAGGGGAAGTTTCTTATGGGATTTTATTTTATATGTGTTCTTATGTGCAGCAATTTTGGATGTAATCCTCAGTTGGAAGGCACAACGGAGCATGTCAATCCATGTCAAGTTAAGATATATTCTGAAAGTTTTATCTGCTGCAGCCTGGGTGATTGTCCTATCAGTTACTTATGCCTATACTTGGGATAATCCTCCTGGGTTTGCTCAAACCATCCAAAGTTGGTTTGGAAGCAATTCAAGTTCACCGTCACTGTTTATTTTGGCTGTTGTTGCTTACCTGTCACCCAATATGCTTGCTGCTGTATTGTTTCTGTTCCCATTCATTCGTCGGTTTCTTGAGAGATCAAACTATAAGATTGTGATGCTAATGATGTGGTGGTCACAGGTAGGCAGAATGAAAATCTTAAATTTTTCTGAAGCTTTGTGTTTGATGGTGTCATGCACTAATGTGTGCGTGCATGTGCACATATGCATTTTAGCATTCGTATTGCGTTTGTTTTTCCTGCTGTAACTTTATTAGGAGTCCCTAACTTGATGTTTATTATGCTTTATTTTGCAGCCTCGTCTGTATGTTGGTAGAGGAATGCATGAGAGCACATTCTCACTTTTCAAGTAAGAATATAGGTTGAAAACTGGATTTTGGTAGTAATATATGAACTTCAAAGTTCTTTTGATCATATATTGTCCTTGTTTTCACTTTCAGGTATACTATGTTTTGGGTCCTCCTTATCATTACAAAGTTGGCTTTCAGTTACTATATAGAGGTTTTGCTTCGTCATTCAACTTGAATCTGTTACTTCCAGATGAAATATTATTATCATATGCCTTGTCCATACATTCACAATTTTGTAAAATAATATGAATGGATATTTTCATTTTTTTCCCCCTTTGGAAACAGACTTGTTATTTTACTGTGATTGGGTTGTGGTTTTGCATTCCGGTGAAATATTCCACGTTAAATTAAAACTTGACCTGTTTTCACTTAAAAGAACTTGAACCGTGTTTGATCTTACCTGTTCTGATATTTCAATTTTTCTGTAGATAAAACCTTTGGTGCAACCGACAAAAGATATAATGAGGGTTAGAATTACAAAGTTCCAGTGGCATGAATTCTTTCCTCGTGGTAGATAGCTTGAACACTCTGGTTTTTATATATGTCAATATTCTAGAAAACCCTGTGATAAGCTATTGTTTGTTTGCAGCCAGGAACAATATTGGTGTTGTAATTGCCCTTTGGGCTCCAATTATTCTGGTATGGGCTTGTAATTTAACCCATTAGCTTTTTGAATATTCTTTGTGGAAGTAATCAAAACTAAGTTTTGTTTTTATATAGGTATACTTCATGGATACCCAAATTTGGTATGCAATATTCTCTACCTTATTTGGTGGTATTTATGGTGCTTTCCGTCGCCTCGGAGAGGTTTGTAGACTGTCAATATTTTTCCCAATTCTCAATTGATGATTTGATGGGTGTTTCATCTAAAGTATGCTTGTAAATCAACTTTTGCACATCATATGCTTTTGATACTTTCAATGTATGGTAAGAATTAGAACGTGAACTTGTTTTTAATATATTATTACATATACAGCTGCAAGCTGTAGAAGGTTGACTTTGTCTCTCAAGGTTGTAGGGGTTTTCATCGCTTTGGGGAATTTTCATGTGTGCTGTGCATTTGATATGTTTGTGGGATGGCTTATATGTCTCCATTGACATGCTTCTCAGGTTGTTTTATTGGAATTTGTCCCTTTGTTTATCACAATTAATTCGAGATGCATATGACTTCTAGGATCTTTGTTCTTTACACTTTCTTCTTGCACCTTCAAAACTTGACCATTCTTTTGTTTGATTGATGGCTACATTCATTACTAGCATGCCTCTATCTTCATTGCTTTCTTTGCTTGTTTGGGTTTCTTTTTCTTATCCTTGCGATTACATCTAGTCGACTATTTGGTGGTTTCAGATAAGAACATTAGGAATGCTTAGATCTCGTTTCCAATCATTGCCTGGTGCCTTCAATGCTTGCCTGATCCCTGAGGAAAAGAATGAGCCAAGGAAGAAGGGATTGAAGGCCACATTATCTCGCCGATTTGCTGATGTTGGTTGCTTTACTTTCTTGAACTTATAATCAAGAACTGGAGCTTTTGGTTTAAGTTAGATTGATTTGGTTTATCTTTTGTAGATCCCATCAAACAAAGAAAAAGAAGCTGCAAGGTTTGCTCAGTTGTGGAACCAAATAATCACAAGCTTTAGAGAGGAAGATCTTATCAGTGATAGGTAATATGAGACATGAATTTATATTTTTTGTTCTTGATCGTGTCTGCACTCTCTTTCTCACACACACGCACGCACATGCATGCACAAAGTATGTCACATTAGATTTTCTTCTTTTGTGTGCTGAGGTGGTGGGTACTCTGCAGGGAAATGGACCTTTTGCTTGTACCTTATTGGGCTGACCGGGAGTTGGATCTTATACAATGGCCTCCATTTTTACTTGCCAGCAAGGTTTTTTCCTTGAAATTTTTTGGCACTTGTCATCTGCCTGCCCATTTAGTAACTTTATATTTGCTCTTCAGATCCCTATTGCATTAGATATGGCTAAGGACAGCAATGGAAAGGATCGAGAGCTGAAAAAAAGAATTGAGGCTGACAACTATATGTCCTGTGCTGTCCGTGAGTGTTATGCTTCATTTAAGAGCATTATTAAGTTCTTGGTTCAAGGCGAACAAGAGAAAGAGTAAGTCTGTAGAAATTCTTTGATGATGTTATTTATGCAAGTAGTTTATACTTGTGTAGAAATAAATTTTTCATTGTTAGTGACAGTTGTTTTTTTTTGTTAAATGCAATGGGAACAACTGGCTTTCTCCAGTTTGATTCTTTATCTTTTCTACAATGAGCTTCTCTAACATTTCTAATCTCTTAATTTGATTGGCTTCTCTGATTTCAGGGTAATAGAAAAATTGTTCACCGAAGTTGACAGTCACATAGATGCGGGTGACCTTATAAGTGAATTCAGGATGAGTGCTCTTCCTAGCCTATATCAGCAGTTTGTCGAGCTAATCAAATATTTGGTAATGTTTGGCCGTTTTTGTGCAACTAAGCTCAACTTTTTTTCCTTTGTCAAAATCTTAACGAGCTACTTAAACTGTTGCAGTTAAATAATAATCCCAATGAAAGGGATCAAGTTGTGATTCTATTCCAGGACATGCTGGAGGTAGTCACAAGAGATATTATGATGGAGGATCACATATTCAGGTATTGCATCCTTAGATCCTTATGCCCTAAGAAATGGCATTTTGCCCTCACACTTTACTAAAATACTATCGTTTGCCTTGGATAGTGTAGTAGATTCAATCCATGGTGGATCTGGGCATGAAGGGTTGCTTCCCCTTGAGCGACAAGACCAGCAGTTATTTGCCTCTGAAGGAGCTATTAGGTTTCCAATTGAACCAGTTACTGAAGCATGGACAGAAAAGGTCTTTAACTAAAACGATTATGTTGATGCCACAACACTGCTATGATAGTTAAGTAATTCCTTCTGAATTTTTATTGGCTTTTATTTGCAGATTAAACGACTTTACTTGCTGCTTACCACAAAAGAATCTGCCATGGATGTGCCATCTAACTTAGAAGCAAGAAGACGTATTTCTTTCTTCTCAAATTCCCTCTTTATGGACATGCCTCCAGCACCCAAAGTTCGGAATATGCTTTCATTCTCGTAAGCTTCTTAGTTCTTAGTCTTCCTCATTCTGCACTACATGAGTGTCAATAGTTAATATTAAAATTGCTTAGAATTTGCTGCCTTTTATTATGTGACTCAATACCTTATGCAATCTTGATAACTGAAGATTCTAAAGTAATAAGATATAATCTCTTAAAAATATGCATATTCAATTCCCTCGGGCTTGTAGGAATTAAGGTCTCCTGAAAATATGCCAAGGAAGAAAAATTGTTGGTTATTCACGGGAAGGTTCGGCTCGTGCCATTTGTTGTGAAATGTTTTGTTTCCTGTTCAATTTTTATTTTGTTCTCTGATGGTTTTTCATTTTTTCTTTTTCCCTCCTATTGGACTTTACTTGCAGGGTTTTAACACCATATTACACAGAGGAGGTTCTATTCTCCTTGCGTGAGTTGGAATCACCTAATGAAGATGGTGTTTCAATACTCTTCTACTTGCAAAAGATTTTTCCAGGTACTCAATTAATCCATAAACCTCTGCTGATTAAGCTATGATCATACTCAATTAACCCATTTTTGTTATTGGTATACAGATGAGTGGAACAACTTTCTTCTGCGAGTTAAATGCTCCAGTGAGGAGGAACTTAAAGGCAATGATGAGTTAGAAGAAGAACTTCGACTTTGGGCGTCATACAGGGGCCAAACTCTGACTAGAACTGGTTGCCCCTTCTCTCTTGTTCTCACACTTATATATGCACGTGTACTGAATAGTTATTTTCTTCAGTCATCAACATCTAAAGCGCTTTCTTATCTTCATAGTGATTTATTCTTTTATTCTTTCAATGTAGTGAGAGGCATGATGTACTACAGAAAAGCTTTGGAGCTTCAGGCTTTCCTTGATATGGCCAAAGATGAAGGTGAGTTTTTCTTCTGTTGGAATTGATGCAATGAAGAATTACTAGTTGCCCTTGCATTGCATGTAATTTGGTTGCCAAAGAAACTTGCATTGAGAAACAGTGCCTTGCATGAACTGCTGAAGTTTTGGATTTTAAGGCTGGAATTTTGTGAATGTAGATTTAATGGAAGGGTATAAAGCCTTAGGAAGTTTGGATGATAACTCAAGGGGGGAAAGATCCCTGTGGACACAGTGTCAGGCAGTAGCTGATATGAAATTTACATACGTGGTATCCTGCCAACAATATGGCATTGACAAGCGATCTGGTGCTGCTCGTGCACAGGACATATTGAGGCTCATGACAACGTAGGTTTCAAGGCTTGGTAGTTCATATTCTTATATGCACTTAATTTATTAGTTGGGTTCACATAATTTCATTTGGCAGATATCCTTCTCTTCGAGTGGCCTATATTGATGAAGTAGAAGAACCTAGCAAAGAAAGACCAAAAAAGATCAACAAGGTTTATTACTCTTGCTTGGTAAAGGCTATGCCAAAATCTAGCAGTCCGTCTGAGCCTGCTCAATATTTGGACCAGGTAACTGATTTTTATTTTGACAAGTCAATCGTATTGTTGGAAGATTATAATTTGGATAGGGAAGAGAGAAGGAAGAGGGAAGTGAGATAGGAGAAACAAAGGGATTGATAGTTTTTGGATGGAAAGGTATATATTTATTCCACTGTGAAAGCTGATGCATATAGGAGGAGAGACTGCAGAGAAATCGCACATAATCTCTCTCAATAAATACAGAAAATCAAATCAGAAGCAAATCTGGAAATATTCTTATTCGAAATCCCTAAATAAAAGACTGAAGATAATGCTAATAAAGCGAGTATAAATGGTCACAATGGAATTAGGGTTATCTAAGCATCAGGCTCAAATGAGAATGAGCCAACTTTCAACAGGGATTGAAGGACAATGGAATAGAGAAGAGTTGATAGAGCACAGTCAAGGAGGGACAAAGGAACTTTGAATAGTGTGCTGGTTTATTCATTTGCAAGTCTGTTGTTTACAATATGAGGATCTATTTATAGGCATAGGCTATCGGCTATATCCCCAAGTACAATGCCTACTTTTTATTTTTATTTTATATCTATACGACAAACAATTTTTTCATTGAATATTTTGGGTCAAACAAATTCAAACTGAGTTGATATGTTAAAACTCGTTATCAAAACCTTACTATCTCACGATTCTCATGAAATCTTTGTACCACCCTGAACAATTTTGTGTGGATATATAATGAATTGGAAGAAATGGATATACAACTCCCTTAGACTGTTTGGCTTTAAAAAAAAAGGCTTTTTTGGTTTCAAAATGATGGTTTGGGGATCTCACCATCCAAACAAGTCAATTTTTTCAAAAATCAATTTTTGATTGGAAACCACGGTTGTTCCTACTACAGTAGTGAAAGTATCACCATCCCACATTGTGTTCATTAAGGATCTACTCCATCATGCGTCTACTCCACCACAAGCTATAGTACCTCAGGTCATCCCATCATCTAAAGGGTCTCTTCATGGGTATCTTGTCTATTGGAAAGGCTTTCCAACAATCAAACTAGCCTTTCTCTCCATGGTTTTCTCTTTTGATATCCGAAGGTTGAAAACTTAGCTAGCATAAATGTTGTTAAGGAGCAAGAGAAGGCTGAATTGAAGAATCATTGCCGAATATGAAGGCAAGAATCTTGAATTGAATCAAGACTTTGAATTAATGACCAAGGATCATGAGTCACAGGCTGTGGAAATTCATCATGTTGGAAATCTTGACAATACAGGTGTCCATATTCATCATATTTCTATTGCACATTGCACTCCTATTTTTCAAATTCATCAGAATCAAGCTGCATATTATCCTGAAGTTGTTAAGGTTATGAAAGAGCATATTGTTTTCCTATTTGATGATAACCTCTACAACTACCTCGCATATTGGAAAGGTTTTCCAAATCAGCACAATCAAAATGCTCACTCTCTGCAATGTCTCATTTTTCACTACATTGTTCGTTGGAAAGGATTCCCATATTAGATGCTACATTGAGTAATTCCCCACTGTGTGTTCTATTGGAGTTATATCATCAACTTTACTCTCTGGAGGAACTAAGCGGGGGAGAATTGATAGAGTATAAGAATACCTATATTGGAAGAAAATTTTGAAGTTATTATCTCTATGCAACTTGGGTTTCCTTAGTGGTTAAGTACTAGCAAGTTATCATTAAGTTTCCCTCTAGGAAAGGAAACCAAATTGGATTTTGCTTCTATATTTTATTAAGAAGTTGTCATCGAGTTTCCTTCTAATGGAGAAAGCCAAATTTGATTTTGATTCTATATTTTATTAGGAAGTTGTCATTAAGTTTTCTTCTAGTAAAGGAAACCAAATTGGATTTTGCTTCTTGTAGCAAGTTGTCCTCAAGATTACTTCATAAAGAAGGAAATCTTGATCTATAAGGAGTAGGAAGCATATGTATTGGAAGACTTTTGGACGAATGAATATTGAGTTATGTGATATCTCCCTCTCTCCCTATGTTTGCCACTCCTTCCAATCCCCCTGTTTCTATTTTCTCTACCTAAATTAATTTTGTTCTACATTAAGTTCAAGTATGTGAGTGTTTTGCATCAAAAGTGTAATGAACCCTTGGAGGCCAAAGACGACCCTGATAAAATTGCTCACCTTTTGCATGAAATTTGTTCATAAGGAATTGAAAGGCCCCCACCTCATGAAGGAAAGACGTGAAAGAAGAATGGAATCTTGAAATCTTCTCATGTTTCAGTTTCATACATTAAATCCAAACCCTTTTTGTCAATGACTGGGTTGGTGAAGTTTTCCAGGGAAATGCTTTTGCGGGGTAGAGACTAGGGACACATGATGAGGTTCTTCAAGGGAAGGTGTAGAAGTTGTTGAAATAATAGAAACTGGGGAAGAGTTTTATGGTTTGTTGATGCTCTTTCTTTCCATTGAAAGCTGAATGGTTTGAGCATAAAAGGAGTTGGATTGCTAGGTTGAAAATTGCTAAATCCTCATGAAGTAGTCGACACAAATTTTAAATCAAAACCAAAGTTATCCTACCATAATGTAAATAGAAGAATAAATAAAAATTAATGTTGAAAATCTGCTAATGTAAACATTAATGAAGTTCTCTAACATTGCCATTTGAGTTAAGAAGTAATCATACCAACTTGAAGCCGATGTTGGTGGTGTCGCCAATCTTCTTGCCTATGACCGTGGAGTTTTTCCTTATTTTTGAGTAATTTCACTAAGTACTCCTGTTTTTTTCCTAAAAAGTATTGGTCTCAGGTTGAGATGTTTTCTCATTGGGCCCTACTAAGTCTCGAGTCCTGACTTTGGTATTGGTTTCCAATTTGGTTAGTTTCTATGGATTTTATTTGGTTAAGAGTTCTAGTAAATGTTTACTTTGATTGAGTAATCAATACAAAATATAATAGGATTTATTAAAAAAAGGGGGCAATGAAAAAATTGAAATAAGTGGATGCTAGGCTACTGTGCAAGGTAGTCAAAAGCCTTGGTTGGAATGAAACCCACATGCTAACGTCCTTGTGAGTCTCAGGCAATCCCTCTTTGCATGTACCATGGTATTTGTTAGCGATAGGTTCGTCGAGGATGACTCATTGTACATTGGCATGGAGATTGCCATATGGAGGTTGGAGGATGACTTGTCATGAATAAGATTCCTTATTTGCGGTCTTTGGTAGCCACATACTCTCTTATGTATCAAACACATCCATAATACACATTTATAGGATTCCTTGAGGTCCTTGACATGCCTTGTCCAGTGTCCACACCTCGTGGTCCAGATTAGATAGCAAGCATAGATTTTGTTCCATTGCCACCTTTCGATCATAGCATTTTCTGCTTCCCTTTTGTGAAATACTCTAACTCAATCAATCAAGCTCCTTGTGTTCATTTACAATCATAAATCCTATTAATCAACAAGCTAATTTAAGCTTACTTGCCCGACTTGCTTTTCTCCAATGCAATATGGAATTTTCTACATGAAGCATTTTTCTGCTTGCTTCCTTATTCCAGTTTTCCATTTATCAGTCTTGGACTATGTGCTTATCAAATGATTGTTTTAATCAGGTCATATATAAAATTAAGCTTCCTGGGCCAGCTATTTTGGGTGAGGGGAAGCCTGAAAATCAAAATCATGCCATCATTTTTACACGTGGTGAAGGCTTACAAACAATAGATATGAACCAGGTAAGAGGTCATATTACTAAGTGCATCTCATAGTGAGTCTTATGCCGTTTCTGACTTTTTCATTCCTATAGGATAACTATATGGAGGAAGCTTTGAAGATGAGAAATCTGCTGCAAGAGTTTCTTAAGAAGCATGATGGCGTGAGATACCCAAGTATTCTTGGGCTTAGGGAGCATATATTCACTGGAAGGTTTGTTTAATTTTCATGTATTTATGTTGTTTTCATATCTAATTTTGTTGTGTTTCTGAATTTCTTTTTGGTTACTGTTTTGCTTTGAGGTTTCAGTGTTTCTTCTCTTGCATGGTTCATGTCAAATCAGGAGACCAGTTTTGTGACCATTGGTCAAAGGTTACTGGCTAATCCTCTGAAGTAAGTTCTCCTAGGATGACAGAAATATTGAATATACTTGTGCTGCTGATTAAGTTTTGATCTTCTATGTTTATGTTCTCTATTGAGTGTGCGAATTGACATATTGTCTACCTGTGAAGAAGTCTATCTTAAAGTTTTCTAATTTGATTCAATTTCACGGGAACAAAATACTGAGTGATGTAAAATATGGCTCTGTTCATTGTGTAAGGCTGGTTTTTAATTAGCCAAGTTTACAATTATGGCAAGCTGTGGTGTACAGGTTTATTTTCCATCCATGTTTGTAAATAAATAGAACTAGAGCTGTAATAGGCTATTCATGATGTGCCAGATTTTTTTTGTTTTTTGTTTTTGGGTGATAATGTGCCAGATTAGATATGTACAGGTTTTAGAATACGTTTGCACCTTCTCTGCATAGATGTAAAGTCACGAGGAGTGACAGCCATAGTGCATTCTCAGACGAGGGATAGCTGTTGACTATTTCATTACGTGACTGCTCATATTTCGTCATCTAACTGTCTTCTTTAAGCAGTTTGTCATCTGACTGTTTTCTCTGCATAGATATAAGGTCATGAGGAGTGACAGCCATAGTGCATTCTCAGATGAGGGATAGCTCTTGACCATGTCATTATTTGACAGCTCATATTTCGTCATCTAACTGTCTTCTTTAACTTAAGCAGTTAACGGATCAAAAGCTTTTAAAATGGAAGCCATGGTGGTAATTGCTGAGCCACATGATCATGGCTTATGTTTGTGGGTGGGTTGACAAAGTCATGAGTGGAAGCAGGGGTTCTGGGGCGACTGTAATAGAGGGCTCTGATACCAAATATGATAGGCAGACATAACAGTGGTTTTTGGGGTGGGGTGGGGTGGGGGGGGGGGGGGGGAGGAAAGAACACTATACATGATGTAACAGAATATTGTGTAGTCCTTATGTGGAGGACTATACTCCCTATATGTTAAGTCTTGAGGATAATGCTGTGTCCTGAAGGAAGAGAACGACGTGGACGATTTATAGGAGGAAGAATTTCTATTTGATTTATATACCCACTTGTAAGCTCACTTAGAAAGTGAAAGTCCCAACAAAATATGTTGTTACAGGAATTGAGGTATTGTACAATGGTAAAATATAATTGAGGAAGACCGAAAGCCTCAGAAACTTTGGATCATATATCCTCCCAAAATCCAATTTTTAAAACCCATCAATAAGCTTTAGGCTTGCTACGTGCTACAAGGCAAGTCCTAATAGCATGACCATTAATTGGAAGCATTGCATAAGGTGTTGACATTATAAGCCTTTCTACTATGTGATGTTTGAATATTATCACATGTACAATAAGAAACCTTATCCCATTTAAGGTTGGATCAATGTATCACACATACGATGATAAACTACATTCATTTGCCTATTGATGAAAATATTATTGCACCTATGAGATGTGATAGAAAAGCTGTTGATAACAAATGTGCAGCAATACAAGGCTTTTAATAAGCAATTGTGCAATAAATGCTACTGCATTCATTAACTATTTTCAAGTATTCTAACAATACGCGTGTCATAACATGATAATAGTGAGAATGACATTGGTCATAGTAGCAGCGGTATTGACGGTGGTAAAAAGGATGGGAAGTTGTAATTATTTAGATGTTTGGGGTAGATACTGATTGTGATTAGTTTAAAAAAGAAAGTGAGGCTAGAATTGGTTGAAAATGAGTTTTAAAGAACAATGAAAGAGGAAACTGAACATGAAAGTAAGAGTTATTTTTTTCCTGTTTTCTTTCTAACTTTGTACATGTTTGTTTAGTGTTTGAAGAAGCATTCGAATGCTAGACAGTGGATTTATTTTTCTATGTTCATTTCTATTCTGCACCTCCTGAGATACATGCAGTGCTATCTACTGTGGTAGAAGATCCTTTAAGAAAGTCTTTAAACCGCTATGATAAAAAAAATGAATAGGTAAATTTTCTAGTTGGTCAATTTATGGATTGGAAATTTCATAGATTTATTTAGTTCTGTTGGAATCACGGTTTATTCTTTGGTACTTGATTGGCATGGTTCTTCCACCAGTGAGTTTAAGGTTGGGTTTCCCGTGCTTGACGTAGGTCTTTATCTAACTAGTAGTTTATGGGAGATATATAGCCTTGTTCACTTCTTTATTCCTGTGCAGAGTTCGCTTCCATTATGGTCATCCTGACATCTTTGATAGGCTCTTCCACCTTACAAGAGGTGGTGTCAGCAAAGCCTCCAAAGTTATCAATTTGAGTGAAGATATTTTTGCTGGTACAGTGATTACCATACTGCTATCTTTTGTCTTGTTGATTATATCTTCATTTGTCTAAAATGTTATTTGCAGGTTTCAACTCTACCCTCCGTGAGGGAAATGTTACGCACCATGAGTACATACAAGTTGGGAAGGGAAGAGATGTTGGTCTCAATCAGATTTCCATGTTTGAAGCCAAGATTGCTAATGGCAATGGAGAGCAAACACTAAGTCGAGATGTATACCGACTTGGGCACCGCTTTGACTTTTTCAGAATGTTGTCTTGTTATTTCACTACAATTGGTTTCTACTTCAGTACTCTTGTATGTTTTCCATGGCTAATTGCTTTGTTTAACCACTATCTTGTTCTTATATCAGTTCTGAAATTACTTTTTTTATCCTCTAATATTGGCAGATTACTGTTCTCACTGTATATGTATTCCTCTATGGTCGCCTTTATCTTGTTCTAAGTGGACTTGAAGAAGGTTTAAGTACACAGAAAGCCATTCGAGACAATAAGCCTCTTCAAGTAGCTCTTGCCTCTCAGTCATTTGTTCAGATTGGTTTTCTAATGGCCTTGCCGATGCTAATGGAGATTGGCCTGGAAAGAGGTTTCCGAACTGCGCTAAGTGAGTTTATATTGATGCAGTTACAACTAGCCCCAGTGTTCTTCACATTCTCTCTTGGGACAAAAACTCATTATTATGGAAGGACATTACTTCATGGAGGTGCAAAATATCGGCCCACAGGACGTGGGTTTGTGGTTTTCCATGCCAAATTTGCTGACAACTATAGACTTTACTCCCGTAGCCACTTTGTCAAGGGTATTGAACTCATGATTTTGCTTATTGTGTATGAAATTTTTGGTACTTCTTATAGGAGTGCTGTTGCCTATATCCTCATCACCATATCTATGTGGTTTATGGTGGGAACTTGGCTTTTTGCACCCTTCTTGTTTAATCCGTCCGGCTTTGAGTGGCAAAAAATTGTGGATGATTGGACTGATTGGAATAAATGGATTAGCAACATCGGAGGTATAGGGGTACCTCCGGAAAAAAGTTGGGAATCTTGGTGGGAAGAGGAACAGGAGCATCTTAAATATTCTGGCAAGCGGGGCATCATTGTTGAAATCTTGTTATCTTTACGATTTTTTATCTATCAGTATGGCCTCGTATATCACCTACATATTACGAGGCAATGGCATACAAAAAGTTTTCTGGTGAGTCTTTACCATGTCCTCTTCTTTTTCAAAACAATAAAAATCTGTCATTATGTGGGCTGAATATTCTTTCCTTGGCTACAGGTTTATGGCCTGTCATGGTTGGTGATCTTTCTAATCTTATTCGTGATGAAGGTTAGTGACTTTGCTCCTTATGAATACAGGCACAGTGAATTCAAGATTGGAAAACATGCTAAATCCTTGCTGTGTTCTGACAAATTTGTTCTGCTTTTTGGGTCTCAGACTGTGTCTGTTGGGAGACGGAAGTTCAGTGCAAATTTTCAACTTGTCTTCCGGCTAATCAAGGGAATGATATTCCTCACATTTGTCTCAATTCTGGTCACTTTGATTGCACTTCCTCATATGACATTACAAGACATTTTTGTGTGCATTCTTGCTTTCATGCCAACTGGTTGGGGAATGCTTCAGGTAAATGTTGTCCTTATTTTTTTTCCATAAAATTATAATGATAATTATTTTTCATGAGATCCAATATTTCTGATACTTGAAAAACTGTGTGCTGCTAGTGGCATAAATCTTCTGTCAGTAGCCTCTCTGTTATCTCTTAATCTGCTTGTGGCACATGGATGTTGACCTCATTTGGGTTTGCAGATTGCACAGGCATTGAAGCCTCTTGTTCGGCGAGCGGGATTCTGGGGATCTGTGAAAACACTCGCTCGTGGTTACGAAATAGTGATGGGTTTGCTCTTGTTCACTCCAGTGGCATTCCTGGCGTGGTTTCCTTTTGTTTCAGAATTTCAGACTCGAATGTTGTTCAACCAAGCATTCAGTAGAGGTCTGCAGATTTCACGCATTCTTGGTGGCCAAAGGAAGGAGCGGTCTTCGCGCAACAAGGAGTAGTTTTCCTAATTACTTCAACCTCTTTCTCTAGCATGTTGTAATGAGTAGATATAACCATGGATGATAGATTTTGCCCTCTGCTTTTGGGTTTTGTGGAGTTGTATTATTACAACCAGGTTATTCCAATCTAAATATGAGCGATTTCGCCGTCTCTATTCGCGTCGGTCATTTCAACAATTTTAGCATGCAATGGGAAGCGCCATGGTTCATTCAATTTTCAGCGAAAATCTATAAATTAAAATCTGCACTTTAGTCATTAAGCTACTATTTATTTGATATTTCAGTTGTGATCCAACAAATTTTATAAAATTTTTTTGGGGATGGTTCAACTCCCCACTTCAAGCTCCCAATGTGTTCTCTAATTTTATTTTGTTAAAAAAAAAAACTATATTCTTGTTTGTCTATATTTATATCGGAAAATGGAAAACTAATTTTTTGGTCCTCAATAGTTTTGATTCATTTGTACTTTGGTTTTTATATTTTGACTTTGTGCTGTTTGATGTCTATAGTTTTGACTTTTTGTATGTTGTTGAATTTTGACTTGTTGCACCTTGATTTAATTAATTCTTCTTACCAAGAAATTGCGGAAACTTTTGCTATTCACTTGGGTCTATTATTTTAGTTTTTTTTACCATAATTTTGAAAAAGGAATTGGAACTACTTCTCAGGACCTTAAGTTAGAAAAATTCTTTCGGGTTAGTATTCGTTATAATTCTAAACTTAGGCTAAACTTTAAAAAATTATAACTTAATTCTAAAAAAATTGAAATGAGGTAGTTCTACTTAAAGCTCATATAATGACTTTTAGAGGAAAAATGTTACATCTTATACTAGAACAACTTAGAGTTCAATTAGAATCATTTTAAACTACATTGGATGATTTGAGTTCAAAAATCTTATTTAGGACGTTGGAAATGCTACTTTTTGGATTTTTTATTGTTTATTTGGTAAAATCCAGTTTTTTAATCCAACTTTAAAAAATTATAACTTAATTTTAAAAAAATCAAAATGGAATGGTTCAAAATTCTGTGAAAAGCTCTTTGAAAGCTCTTTCAAAAAAAAAAAAAATCTTATGAATCAATACCTTTTGAGGAAGTGCCAGATTTTTGTGGAAGTCACCACTGTCATTTCGGTAAAAATCCTTTTTTTAGATTTTGGATTTAACTTTGAAAAATCATTAAAAATTGCACAATTGTCCATTTTTAACGTGCTACATATCAAATTGAAGCTCGAAATGTGATCTCTAAGCATGCCAAATTTCACGATTATATTCATTCAGGTGCTTAATCAAAATGCTGCTCCAAGTTGACGGCTTCTTTAGGGTTGCAGCACCAACCATGCATATTTATACATAACCAAAATAGAATTGTTTTCTCATAGTTCACCACCACAATTACTCTTGAATTTGCAGCCTACCTTTGGATGATTTAGGCCCTAAAATGTTGGATTATTTTGGAAGGGTGACATTTCAATGAAATCCCAGTAGCAAGAATAATTAACCATAACATCACATGCATCAATTACAAGCATTCCAATCTTTTGCTACTAATAGGGAATTACTTTACTTCATACATGTAGCACTCCAAGATGTAATAGTCAAGGCACTTAAAGCAAGGAGTATAGTACACAATTATTATCATTCTACATTATTTAGTTCAACCACATAATAGTACATGAAATTGCATAGTAATCAATGCAACAATCAATATTAAAGTTAATTAAATTTTACTACCTTGGTCCAAAAGCTCTTTGATCTTCTTCCTTTCCTCCACAAATAACAAACTCTAACATGATAAACCACAAAAGGGCGGCAAGATCATCAACTGTTCTGTATAAAAATCAACAACATAACTCAAGTAATTCTTAAACCCTTTAAAGCTTCCCTCTTTCTTCCTGAATTTTTAGAGTTTGTTTCCTTAACCCTAAAAATTCTCTCTTGACTCATTCTTACATGATTTTTCATGTAGATTCTAAATATATACTTGGATTTAAGAAAAGAAACTTCCTACTTGCAAAATCAAAGTAATCGAACCTATAGGGTTCATTATCCAAAAATTACAACTTTGATTCTAATGCTTCCAACACTTAATCTTTAGGTCTATCCTATACCATTTTTTATTTTGAACACAATGGAAGCATCAAAACATTGAAAAACTCATCCTAGGATCCAGTTATTAAGTTGGCCGAACAGTTCCTCTTACACAACAACAAAGAAATCTCTTCAAAAACAACATATAACTACTTGAAACCACTTGGAATAATCATGCTTTTAAGTGGTCTAACAAGTATGAATAACAAAACTTCCTCCCCTACTCATTAAGCTTTCGGCCAGCTCCAAAAAAAATGAAAACAAGGCAACGAACAACTTGGAATAAAAAACTAACCTTAAATTTCACTTACATGATCAAAGTTGTTCACTTTCTCTTGATTTCTCTTTCAAACTCTCTCTTTTCCCTCACTTTCTCTCTTTGGCCGCATGGTAATCTGAAAGTAGGGGGAGAAGTGTTCTCTTTAATGAGCAAAATATCTCATCTACCACATTTAATAAAAGTCCAAGTGTCAATTGCCTAAACCTCCTTGAAACCTCTCTCTTAGTTACTTAAATCCAATTGTAATTAATTATCAAAAGTCAAAATCCTCTCTATTTAAGGCTTGACACTTGGCAACTTTAATTACTATCCATTAGGACCTTGACAAATGGCAAATTGTGGGCCAAGTAAAATGCAAGACTCTACTTCTTGCTTTATCGGTGCACTTTTGCTCTAGATTTAATTTTCTTTCTATAATTATAGTACTTTGGTCTTTGTAACTATTTCTGTCAGATCCATAATTTAATCTCCTTGTTTTTATTTCCCAAAATTTCCTCTTTGTCTCAAAAATCAAATTTCCAATAATTAAATAAAAAGGAAAACTAATTTCCTTCTCATTAGTACTTTTTCACTTTTCAAAGGAATTAGGAAAAATCTTGGATATTTGAGGGTTTTCTTTTAATTTCATAATCTCTTATAATTCCTTGGGGCATCCTCAAAATTTTCTTGGGATTTTATTCTCCTTCTAAATATTTATTTGGAATTTTTCAAATAAAAGGCCTCAAATTAGCCTAAATCATCCTTAAATTCCTTTGTAATTTCTCCAAGGTAATTTGGTTATAAAACCAATTATATAACATCATATAATTCTCAAGGAATATTATTCTTATTTTTCTTAATTTTCTGAAGCTTGAAATATTTTTTCATAATTATCTTTAACCAATTTTCCTTAATTAATCACATTCTCATAATTAACTTGGAAAATCATAATAATTATTTTCCATCAACATTCTTCTATTTCTCCTTATCATTTTTAGTCCTTAATTATTTAGGAATATCCTTATTCCTAATTACCATATTATTGGATGTGACAACAAATGCTCAGATTTCATGCAAGGAAATACTGTTCATTTGGTAAATTTCTAATTTTTCAGAATTTATGTCTTACTTTGGATAGGCATAAATTTTTGTACAAAACTCTAATTTTAGTGATTTACCCCCTGTCTTAAAACTAAAAACATGATCTATATATCTGTCAAGTTTCAGCTCAAAAACTCATTCATTGATTGTTAATATATGGATGATTGCTATTATTTGGTTGAGCTATGATGAATGTTTATATGGCTACTCCTTGCATTGAATGCCTTGGCTATTACATGTTAGAGATTGCCTAATTATGATGAAGATTAGTTCCCTAATGATAGCAAATGTTGAGATGCTTGATGATAATGCATGTTTGATGTTATGGCTAATTTTCTCTTCCTATTGGGATTTCAATGAAATCTCATTCCTTCCAAATGCAATTAAATTTTCCTAGGGGCTGAACCATCCAGGAAGAAGAAGAAAATATTGAAAGAATGATGTATAATTATGAAATCCCTTAACTTTTGACAATGTACGTAAATATATGTATGGATGCTATAACCCTTTTGAGCTGTTATTTCGAAGCTATAATTTGACCATGTTATTGGATGTATTAAATTCTAAAATTTGGTATGCTTATAGTTGACATATTAATCTTCAAATCAATAGGTATGACGTTCAAATTGGACATATGTATGATTTATGATGATTTTTCAACGTTAAGGTTTGAAATCTGGAAAAAAGTTTTGACCAACAGAATAGTAGTGAATTCTGTACAAATCTGGCACTCGTTCACGCTGAATTGGTTCCTAAGATTATTTTTTTCTTAAAGAGCATTCAAGGAGCTTTCGGAAGGACTTGGAACCACTCCATTTCAATTTTTTTAGAATTAGTTATGAATTTTTAAAATTGGACAGAAGTTCAGGAATTACCAAATAAATAGTGAATCCGTAAGTAACATTTTGATTACGTTTTCTTGACTTTAAGACCATCCAAAGTGGTCTAAAATGATGTAAAATGGACCTTAAGGTATTATAGAAGTAACGTTTAACATCTTCCTCCAAATGTTAAATGTTGAATTGATTATGGAAGTATGATATAAGTTGGGGATATGACAGAAGAGTCACTCTAGTTTTGCACAATTAGAAAGCTCTGATTTCGTTGTAAATCAAAGCTCCAATGTTAATCACACTTACCTTTACCCCAACATGTATCACTTGATTAAATCACCTCCCTTACAATCTTGCCATGTGTAATAAAAATTGACATGTGTCTAGACTTCTAGATTGCTTACTCATGACATCACACCTCTTACATCATGCCTTGCCACGTGCTTCATGATTAAGCCATCTAGCTCATGATATTGCCAAGTGTCTAATGATCTTAACTCTTGTCTCATGATTTAGCCATGTGTTTCTTGTAGTTTTCCAAGTGTCTTCTTGAAATTTTCCATCCAATAAGAAGCCATACATATGGCTCCATATTGAGGAGGAAGAAAGGATCGGGGAGTTGCTTCGATAAGCTTCCAATCCATCGGTCTCATTTGTCTCCTACCGGTCTCTTTTCTTTTTCCATATGTTTTCTTGGAATTTCTAGCCAATAGAAAGAGCACACATGTGGCGCCATCTTAGAGGAGCAGAAAGAAAAATAAGGATCTCTATTGACAGGCTACTTAGGCTCACTGAGTCATATAGTAGAGGTTTTATTACATAATTCTATTCTCCCGACATGCCCCTTAACA